ATAACAGTTCGAATAATATAAATCTCTATATATAAAAGGCAAGATGTGTGTGTGTGTGTGTGTGTGTGTGTGTGTGTGTGTGTGTGTGTGTGTGAATGCACGGCCGCAATTTTCGACGGATTTGCACCAAAATTTACATGCCCATGCACCAAGTTAGCGGGAAGGCCAAGACCGACTTTGCATTTCCCAACTTCCATCGATAGTGGAAATAATCGATTTTTTCATGCTTCTACGGCACTTTTCATGCAGTTTGCGGCCATTTTTTACTAGCCACAATGAGAACCAATAGCTGGCTGCCACGAACAGGCAGGAAGATTCTATTGGCCAGCGTGAGAGCCAATAGCTGACTGACACGAATGTTAACTAGCATGCTAGCAGCCAAAAAAAAAAATCGATAGCTGCATTCGTCACAAGTGGGAAAAATTTAAATCTGCATGGCACTTTACTCCAATTGGCTCATATGCTTGCTTAAACTCAACGTTGATTCTGATTCCGCAGAACTGGGTTGGGTGTGAAAAAGTATTTGTTGTTAACATTCTTTTTTCATTCGGTTTTTCCAGACGAGTCCTTTTTTAAAGCTGGTCGTTTTGTGTTCATTTTGTTTAGTTCTTTTTTCGTAACAGATTTAATGTTTAGTATAGAGCTTAGATAAAATTCGCAGTGTGAGATAGGCAAGAAGTAAGGCATGTAGCAACATCAGCACGGCAAAGGACACTCGTTTAAAGGCAAGGAAGGGCAAAAATATTTTAAGTCAAGTGATAGCGATTGCTGTATGAGTCGTACGATTTTTGAATCAAGCACGGGCAACGCCAGGCCATGCTGCTAGTAATGTATATAATCATAATACCTCATATCAAAGATATAGACAGAAATATTATTCTATTAAGGCCCGTGAGCCCTTTAGTGCAGATTGTTACAGTCGAAATGGAAAGTAGTAAATGAAGTGTACATTATGAAGAGAAGCGTAGATGGTCAGAAGTGAGCATTATAAAGTATATATATATATATATATATATATATATATATATATATATATATATAAAATCTTTATTTCTTTTGGAGGGGTATCACTGCTGTAGCCTGGTTTTGAACTCACAACTCTTTGGTTCTAGTAACTGGATCTAACCAACGTATTTATCAACTTGGCAATGTGTCCTTGAGCATCTAGAACAGTCTATCCCCGCGGACGAAGTAAACCTTCTGTTCGAAATTCCAATCACCTGAAGAAGGCTGAAGCGTATAACAGCCGAAACGTTATGAATAGGGCAATAAAGATGAAGATAACAGTCAGAATAATGTAAATAATGCAAGTAATCATAATACCTCATCTCAGAGATATAAACAGATATCGTCAACAGTATTCTCAAATCCTGGCGCTACATAATCTTTCTGTTGTATTCTGGCATATGCTGGCGAATTCCAATCTCTTTTCCGTGCCATATCGTACATTCAATGTAGAAGAACTTCGAGATATTCTGAAATCATTTTTAATCATTCCACCCAACGCAAGGCATTAATTCCACTAGTATGCAGATGAAGATAACAGTTCAAATAATGTAAATGATGCAAGAAATCATAATACCTCATCTCAGAGATATAGAAACCGGAATGTTGTGAATATGCCAATGAAGACGTGGATAACTGTCCGAATAATGTAATTGATGCAAGTAATCATAATACCTCATCTCAGGGATATAGAAACCGGAATGTTGTGAATATGGCAATGAAGATGAGGATAACAGTCCGAATAATGTAATTGATGCAAGTAATCATAATACCTCATCTCAGGGATATAGAAACCGGAATGTTGTGAATATGGCAATGAAGACGAGGATAACAGTCCGAATAATATAAATGATGCACGTAATCATGATACCTCATCTCAGAGATATAGACAGAAATATGAGCCTTTCAATGTAAACTGTTGAAATAGAAAGTGGTAAATGAAGTGTACATTATGAATATAAGCGTGACGGTAGTGAGCTTTGTAAGGAGGATAAATTTTTTGGTTCACCACTGCTGTGGCCTGATATTGAACTCACAACTCTTTGGTTCTAGTCACTGGATCTAACCAACGTATTTATCCACTCGGCCCTGTGTCCTTGAGCAACTAGAACAGTCTACCCCGGTGGACAAAATAAAGCGTTCTGTTCGAAATTTCAATCACCCAACGCAAGGTATTAATTCCACTAGTATGCAGATGAGGATAACAGTTCGAATGATGTATCAGGTCATCCCATAAGTTCTGTCCGAATTTTAACTTTTTGTTAAAATGAACGAAATTTAAAGAGTATTTTATAATTTCTAATGGAGTTGAACATTATTTTTATGTTTAGATGCATTTAAACTGATCAAATTTTATTTCAGAGAACAATAAAATTAAATTTTGATTGATTAAAAACCTGCTAACATGGAAGTACCCAAGAATCATTTGAGGCACATAATGCTTTATGGGGTGCAAGAAAGGAAACTCAGCAGCCGAAGCGGCTAGAAACATTCACTCAGTTTATGGAGAGGAATGTGTGAATGAAAGAACTTGCAGAAGATGGTTTGCAAAATTCAGAGGTGGAGATTTCACCCTTGAAGATGAAGATTGAACCGGACGTCCAGTTGAGTTTGATGAAAAGCTTCTTGAAGCAGCCCTTGAAGAAAATCCTGCTTTATCAGTTGAGGAATTGGCAGTGGTTCTCAGTTTAAACCTTACAACTGTTCATCGTCATCTTCAACAAATTGGAAAAGTTCCTAAACTTGGAAAATGGGTGCCTCATGAATTGTCTGAAAACAACTTCAAATCGCGAGTTGACATCTGGTCTTCTCTCCATTCTCGCCAACTGGTTTCACTTTTTTGGATAGACTTGTGACTGGCGACGAAAAATGGATCTTTTATCGAAATGTTAAGCGTCATAGACAGTGGCTTGGTAAAGTGGAAGGACCCCAGCCACAGCTGAGAAGGGAACTTCATGGGCAAAAGGTTCTTCTTTCAATCTGGTGGGATCGCCAAGTAATAATCCACTTTGAATTTTTACCACCTAATGCAACAATTAATGCTCAAATATACTGTCAGCAATTAGAGTGTTTGAACCAAGCTTTGAGGAAAAAAAGACCTGCTCTAGTGAATAGAAAAGAGGTGATGTTTCATCAGGACAATCCGCGACCCCACACAACAAGAATCACGTCACAAAAGATCGAAGAACTTGGTTAGGAGAAAATTCCTCATCCACCTTATTCTCCCGATCTTGCTCCTTCAGACTACCATTTGTTTCGTAGCTTACAGAATCATTTGGAAGAAACAGCTTTTGTAACACAGGAAGAGGTTAAAACTGACATTTGTGAGTTCTTCGAATCAAAGCCAAAAGAATTTTACAGTAATGGAATTAGTAAGCTTGTTAATAGATGGAAGGAAGTCATAGATAATCAGGGAAAATTCATTGTTGATTGAATCTGTAATTAAATGTAACATTTGATCACTTGTTTTCTTTATTCAAAATTCGGACAGAACTTATGGGATCACCTGATAAATAATGCAAGCTACTGGAATTATTTTTATTTTCCAGAAAAAAAAATTTTCAGAGAAAAATTTATAAATTCCAACCGACCTCAGTACTGGCCCAGAATTTGTTTTATCAATTTCCTTCTTTATTATTCAGGCGATTAAAAAGAGGATTGTAACATTCTTTCCTCAAATCCGGTTTTCAGAAACAAACAGCCAGTCTCCCAGTTTTACATAACAAAAGCCTATAACTGGTACAATATTTTAACTATTGAGAGAACAGCAAAACTTATACTTACCTAACTGACACGTAACCAGCGCTTTCTCCTCGATTCACAGCCTCGTTGAATATTTCTTTCGCTTCCTCTTTTTCTCGCACTTCTCCAACAGTTACATTACCGTTGATTTCCCTAAATTAATGCAACATCGGAGAACAATTATTCAAAATGTCTAGTTTTATCAGAGATAGATAGATAGATAGATAGATAGATAGATACATACATACATACATACATACATACATACATACATACATAATAAAGAGACTGGGATAGATAGATAGATAGATAGATAGATAGATAGATAGATAGATAGATAGATAGATGAACAGGCTTAGATAGATAGATAGATAGATAGATAGATAGATAGATAGATAGATAGATGAACAGGCTCAGATAGATAGATAGATAGATAGATAGATAGATAGATAGATAGATAGATAGATAGATAGATGAACAGGCTTAGATAGATAGATAGATAGATAGATAGATAGATAGATAGATAATGAAGAGACTAAGACAGATATATAGACAATGGACAGATGAGACAGATAGATAATGAACAGACTATTTGCAAAGCCCTTGGAGGAGTTCGCTAACAAACAAAAAGACAGAGTCTACAACTTTATATATATAGATTAGGTTGAGGATTAATTCATGTGCGTTTTTTTTTCCAAATTTAAATATGCACACAGAATTAATACACATTGGCAAAATATTTTATGTTATTTGAAAGAGAATTTTTTGCTCTACAAGTTAGTATGTTTATTTTTAAATTTTATAGATTTCTTTTTATTTATTTTTCTTTGTCGACTTGACTTTCCATTTTAATGATTGTTCAGATCATTAAAATGGAATGTCAAGTGGACAAAACTGAGCATTTTCGACACCATTTGGATTTTCATTTGATCGAGGTTTTAAGGCCGCCGAAGCTTCTCGTGAGATTTGTGCTGTGTATGGAGAAGGAGCAATGCCTCAATTTACCAACCGACGTTGGTTTTCACGCTTCAAAACATGGGAATTTTTATCTCAAGGACGGATCACAAAAGGGACGACCAAATTGGGTTCGATGAAGATCGATTAAATTAGCTTCTTCATGAAAAAGCAAGGTCAAACAACCAGTGATTTGGCTGAGTAGAGGGATTTTGATCAAAAACTTGTAGTGAACCTTCACTTAATGGGGGAAGGTTCAGAAACATGGCGCTTGGGCAAAAACAACAAAAATCAATGCTCCATTATAGGCGCCAAAGGAAACAAAAGCTTCTAACGCCTTAGATAGATAGAGAGGTAGATATGTATACAATGAGATAAAAAGGTAGATATGTATACAATGACATAGAGAGGTAGATAAGTATACAATGAGATAGGGAGGTAGATAGGTATACAATGAGATAGGGAGGTAGATAGGTATACAAAGAGAGAAAGAAGTAGATATGTATACAAAGAGAGAAAGAGGTAGATATGTATACAAAGAGAGAAAGAGGTAGATAGGTATACAAAGAGATAGGGAGGTAGATATGTATACAGAGAGAGAAAGAGGTAGATAGGTATACAATGAGATAGGGAGGTAGATATGTATACAAAGAGAGAAAGAGAGAGGTAGATATGTATACAAGAGAAAGAGAAGTAGATATGTATACAAAGATGTATACAGAGCGATAGAGAGGTAGATATGTATACAAAGAGATAGAGAGGTAGATATCTATACAAAGACAGAGAAAGGTAGATATGTATACAATGAGATAGAGAGGTAGATATGTATACAAAGAAAGAGAGACGTGTAGATATGTATACAATGAGATAGAGAGGTAGATATGTGTACAAAGATGTATACAAAGCGATAGAGAGGTAGCTATGTATACAAAGAGATAGAGAGGTAGATATGTATACAAAGCATTAAAGAGGTAGATATGCATACAAAGATAGAGGTAGATATCTATACAATGAGAAAGAGAGGTAGAGAGATAAATCTGTATATAATTATATAGGTAGATATGCCAACAATGACATACATAGATATGTATTCAATGAGATAGATATGTATACAATGACACACACACATATATGACATAGATATGTATGCAATGAGATTGTTGGTAATTTTACTATGTTACTATTGTTTGTAAATTCACTATAAAAAGATATTGTTGTTAATTTTGAAAATGGAAAAATGAAAATTCTTACATGGAAAAGTTGGATATGTAGGCTCTGTCTGGTAAGATGACATGAAAATGAGCGATTGCCGGAGAGTTTTTATCGTTGAAGTATTCGGCTGAGACCAAAGTCCTTGCATAACGCACCTTAATGTCACTGGTCACCACAAGAGACTTCAGTGTGGCATCCTGGAGAAAGAAAAAAAAACAATCAAAAATATTAGCATTTTTTTACTGAAAGAGTTTAACAAATTCGCCAAATACTGACAAGAAATACACGACAAAATTTCAATTTCCATTATCCGTTTGGAAGGAACCTAAAAACGAATCCTATTCCTGTTCAAAAGATCAGCCCGGGATGGGAAGCGAACGACAGGCAAACATACCTAATCCTATTTGAAATTGCGAAAGATTTTAGTATATACAAGAGTGGACTGGGCTGAAAAGTTTATAGGCGTGAAAGGTTAATGAAGGAGTTATGCTCGAGCTGTGAAATCTTGCATGCATTAATTTCAATTATTCTTATTAATAACTGCATTGTTTCTTTCTAGGAGCGAGGGTGGGCTGAAAAGTTCATAGACTGACTATGAAGGAGTGATGCTAGAACTGTGAAACCTTGCCTCCATTCATTTCAACTCTTCTTATTAATAACTGCATTATTTCTTTCTAGATAAACTGACCTCTGACCGTTCAAAGAAGACTTCCAAAAATTTTCTTTCCGAAATCCAAAGAAAAGTCTATAATATTATTGATCTGGAACTCGCATCTCGAATTCAGTCACATTCCCTCCCCAATTTCGTGGCTTCCTTCTCTATTTTCTATAAATATTTTCTATGTTATTATTCTCATTGTCTTTCCTCCCTTTCTTTTTATCACTAACACAATTTTGTTTAGCTTTATAAATAATTTGTCATTGTAAATACGCCTTGGTGATATTTCTTTAATCATTCTCTCCACCACAGGTAAATTATACATACAGAGGGTAATTAGGACTTCATAGATATATAGTGGTATTGGTATCATGAATATTATAGTTTGTTTTGACTGAGACGCGCGCTAATCTCTTAGTGATTGTCGAACTCTCTGTCTTCGGGCAGAGAGAACCCAAACGAGGCTATGTCGAAGGGCAGAGTCTCGTCTGTGGAGATAGACAAACCGTTATTACTGGGTCTACGTGGAATTTTTGCCCGGGCGTAAAGGCTCGGAAATAAACATGTTAAACCGACCTTAAACCCACGTTAAACCGGCCACATCCCTCTCTGTGAGGATCTCGGGTAAATACTTAATTTGTTTGGGTCCGTGGTTGTGGCCCAATCAGTTAAGTGCTATGCGCGTTCAATGATTGAGCGAACATATCTTTTTTGATTCGTGACCGACTAGGCCGAAGATTATCCCGTTTTTTTTTTGTTCTTCGGTAGACCAAAGCTATAGGACCCCACTCCGTCCTGTTATTCAACCCAGAGCTGCATTCATAACGTTCCCAATGCTATTTCCGCGTAAGTAAATGCGACGAGCTCAAGTAGAATTCGAACACGGCTCTCATCCCGTATCGATATCCATTACACCACCCGCACATCCAGTAGTTAACTAATTTAAATATATAAAAACCGTCCCTCACTATCACCCACTTTTAGCCTTGTGCTGCATTTTTTGCATCTCGCAAATCTTTACCATTAATCTCCAAGGCTTGGACGCCAAGAAATATTTCTACATCTCTATGTCTCTTGTCTTAAAAAATTGTCAAGATGCTTGAAAACATGTTATGCAGTTGGGTAGAGACCAGAGAAATATGCTGGATGTGGAAGAGTTTTGTATTCCAAGTCAGTAAAATTCTGCAGGGCCATCTTGGCTAAATGTATCCGAGCATTGTCATGACATAGAACTGGGCTCGGTCTATCATTTTTCATGGCTTTGTAGAGTCGGCGGAAGTGAACAAAATCAAATCAAGAGAGCAAATAACGAAATTAAACACACCGCGCAAGCGCTCTGTGCAGCTTTCCGAGTTTCAAGCGTATTTATTTATCTCTTTAAGATTAATCACTAAGGCTTGGACGCCAAGAAATATTTCTACATCTCTATGTCTCTTGTCTTAAAAATTGTCAAAATGCTTGAAAACATGTTATGCAGTTGGGTAGAGACCAGAGAAATATGCTGGATGTGGAAGAGTTTTGTATTCAAGTCAGTAAAAATTCTGCAGGGCCATCTTGGCTAAATGTATCCGAGCATTGTCATGACATAGAACTGGGCTCGGTCTATCATTTTCATGGCTTTGTAGAGTCGGCGGAAGTGAACAAAATCAAATCAAGAGAGCAAATAACGAAATTAAACACACCGCGCAAGCGCTCTGTGCAGCTTTCCGAGTTTCAAGCGTATTTATTTATCTCTTTAAGATTAATCACTAAGGCTTGGACGCCAAGAAATATTTCTACATCTCTATGTCTCTTGTCTTAAAAAATTGTCAAAATGCTTGAAAACATGTTATGCAGTTGGGTAGAGACCAGAGAAATATGCTGGATGTGGAAGAGTTTTGTATTCCAAGTCAGTAAAATTCTGCAGGGCCATCTTGGCTAAATGTATCCGAGCATTGTCATGACATAGAACTGGGCTCGGTCTATCATTTTTCATGGCTTTGTAGAGTCGGCGGAAGTGAACAAAATCAAATCAAGAGAGCAAATAACGAAATTAAACACACCGCGCAAGCGCTCTGCGCAGCTTTCCGAGTTTCAAGCGTATTTATTTATCTCTTTAAGATTAATCACTAAGGCTTGGACGCCAAGAAATATTTCTACATCTCTATGTCTCTTGTCTTAAAAAATTGTCAAAATGCTTGAAAACATGTTATGCAGTTGGGTAGAGAAATATGCTGGATGTGGAAGAGTTTTGTATTTCATGTCAGTAAAATTCTGCAGGGCCATCTTAGCTACCTCTGTCTGAGTATTGTCATGACATAGAACTGGGCTCCGTCTATCATTTTTCATGGCTTTGTAGAGTTGGCGGAAGTGAACAAAATCAAATCAAGAGAGAAAATAACGAAATCAAACTCGCCGTGCAAGGGCCCTGTGCAGCTGTGTTTCAAACATACATCAAATTTTCAATTTAATAAAAATGAATAGCCAATAAAATCAACCCCCGCCAGTAAATAAACATAGGATTTTGGAACCTACACAAGACCATAGAAACAAAACATTTATTCAACTCGACAGAAGGACGGACAGCAGTAAAGAGACACGAGTCAACCTCGTCGTCCTGACTTTCCTATCAAAGCAACAGAGGACTGCATTTTATCTTATCTTCCAACTCCATTTTCTTTTTTCCTCACTGAAAGATTATTCATGTTTGTTTCCTTACAGTCAGTGGGAAGAAATTTATATAAATTTCATAAGTAATTACAGTTAAAATTTATGTATCTTACGTTTAAATAAATCTCATTTTATTTGAACACGCAACAATCTTTAGTCTCATATTTTTATTCAAACTTAGAAGAATTACTGTTTGAGAAAGATTCCTCGGGTCACCACCCAAGGAATCTTTCCCAAACAGTAATTCTTCTAAGCTTTCCTCTTAGATACCTCAACTTAACGAATTTTAGTTCTGCACCATGTCGCAGCATTTTGCACTTGAAATGGCGAGATGTAACCGTAAGTTCTATGCTAAAAGTTTCTTCCCTCGTACTTCTCGCTTGTGAAACACTCTTCCTGCTTCTTACTTTTCATTAAACTTTGAACTTCAAAAATGTAAATGCCATATCAGTCGTTATATCTCCCTATAATGATTTTTCTTTTTCTCATATTCTTGTGTCTTAGTGGCTTTATTGCCTTGTCAATACTCAGCAAATTTGTGACCTTCCATCGGAACCAGAATGTTCACCAATCGTGGTGAACAAATCTTCACTCAGGGATGCCCCATGCCTTGAGCGTCTACTGGACCTGAAACTCAACACAAACCTTGTGAAACTCATACATGCGATCTATCGCTAAAGATGCAGGATAAATGGCCGGTTCCCTGTACCGCTCCAGCAAGTACCTGACTCCCCATGCTATCCTCTAGATTTATAAGAGCCAGATCAGGCCGAAAATGCAATACTGCTGCCAACATCATCATCATTATCATCTTTTGACCTCCCTATGGTTGGTCTGAACTCCACTGACAATCCCTTTCCATACTGCTCAGTACTGCATTGCTGTCCCCAGATCCTCAATGTCCAACCTTACGTCCCGAGCTATGATGTCTGGGAAAGACAATTTTCGTGAGGACACTTCCAGAAGGATGCCATAGGAGTAAGGATGACACGATTTCCCTGTCTGCTGGCTGGCAGTGGCCGGCAGACTCATATCTCTTCGACCTACTTCGGTTGGTCGGAACTCCATTAACAATCCCTTTCCGCATTGTTCATTCTTGTATTGCTGTCCCCATATCCTTAATGTCCAATCCTAAGTCCCGGTGTCTGGGAAAGACAATTTTCGTGAGAGGACACTTCCAGAAGGATGTCATAGGAGTAAGGATGAGACGATTTCCATGTCCGCTCGATGACAGTGGCTGGTAAACTCATATCTCTTACTTTCTCTCTCTCCCTCATTTATTGCTTCTTATCTCTTCATCATCATCATCTTTCGACCTCTCTGTGGTTGATCGGAACTCCATTGACAATCCCTTTTCACAGTGTTCAGTCCTGTATTGCTGTCACCCAGATCCCCAATGTCCAACCCAGAGTCCTGAGCTATGGTGTCTGGGAAAGACAATTTCCGTGAGAAGGCACTTCCAGAAGGATGCCATAGGAGTGAGGATGAAACGATTTCCATGTCCGTTCCGTGGCAGTGGCTGACAAACTCATATCTCTTACTTTCACTCTCTTTTATTGCTTTATCTTCTTCTTCCTCCCCCCCTTTCTCTCTCTCTTATTGCCCCATATATCATCATCATCATCCTTATCATTATTCGACCTCCCTGTGGTTGGTGGGAACTCCATTGACAATCCCTTTCCACATTGTTCAGTCCTGCATTACTGTCCCAAGATCCCGGTGGTAAAGAAAAAAGTGGTAGAGAAAAATGACGTAAAGCTCAGTTACCGGTTGAACGGTGGTAGAGAAAAATGTAATGCCCATTTACCGGTTGAACGGTGGTAGAGAAAAAATGACGTACT